ACCTAAAAAAAGCCAGGATTATTTCATTTAACACATATACTGCCTCCTAAAGCCCAACACTGTACTTCCATCAGCTCAGATATTAAATATTACAACATTGATTGTGTATTATCTTCAAGTCATCATTAAAAACTGCTCACCATGACCTTTGACCCCTAACCCCACACAACCCCTGCTTCCACTCCTACTTATTTATTTTGTACTTTATTATTTGCCCCTCTTGTTTGTTTGTTCACCATGTAAAGTGGCCTTGGGTCCCTTGAAAGGCGCTATACAAATGTAATCTATTATTGTTATTATTAATGATGAATCTGTTTCTATAATTTAAAAAAAGGGGAAGATCTATCACTCAGTTGGATCCTGGCAGGGAAATGTCCCTCTAGTTGTTCAGCGTCATGAACGCATCGTGGGTGAACTGAGGTAATGACGTCAGCAGAGAGAAGCCAGTGTCAACATCTGGACGTTACTCACTTGTATGGAAACGTTGGAGGGCTGAAGGTATTCACTGGGACTGACAGCAACAGTGGTGGCCATACTGTCCTGTTGTTCTGGAAAACACACACACACACACACACACACACACACACACACACACACACACACACACACACACACACACACACACACACACACAGTCAGATTCAGGCTGCATCTATTTTCAGTGGTTAGTCTGTCCAAGGACATCACAGGAGGACATTCATACAAAACAGAAACACATCGAATGAAGACAAGCTCCATAATATCCTGCTGTAATCACGATTAATTCAACATCCCTATCGGTTACACAATTAGGCTAAGCAATAAGCATAAAACGTGTCAGGGTGTAAGAACATAGTTGCCCTTATAAGACATTAAACTTACAGCTGAGAAATATATTAATGTTATTCTTTCTATTTCTTCCATTATTTGCCGTCACCAACTTAGTCAATAAACCCACAATGTTGAAGATTATTTATTAAAATTGTCGTAGCCAACCCTACAATATTTGTTTTAATGATGACATTGATATGACACTGACTATTACCCACAACAGAACAACATTATACATTAATGCACTTTTTTAAATGATAAATCCTGCACACGTTGCACATTTCTTCTCCACACTACCCATTTTAAATCAGCACAGCTCTCCACTTTAAATATGGTAAATAGTATTTGTCATATTTTATTAGATTTGACTGTACTCAGTTTCCCACATACCGGTAATTATATTTTGAGTTAATATTGTCTTTATTTGTAATTGGTTGGAAATATCTCAAAACTGTTATTTAAAAATAGCCGTCATAAGTTAACGGTTCTATTTGTATTTAATTTAGTTTAGCTACGTATTATTCTTTATCGTATGCACCATACACCAAAGCAAATTCCTTGTATGTGCAAACCTACTTGGCAATACAACCGATTCGGATATCAAGGTATTTGTGATATTAAATGTTTCTCCATACGTTACCAGCCAAACCTAAGATGTCCATTGTCATAACTACACGTTAGCTATGTACGTAAGACTAATAAAAGCCTTGAACCTTAGTTAAAATACTAAAGAACAATAGTGATGTTGTGCAGGTTTAAAACGTATCTAATAGAGTGCCACAGTGACGCGTCCTGAAACCCAGAAGTAAGCTGTGCATGGGTTCCTTCGACAAAAAAGGAATGCAATTTCTCCATAGGATTTAGGAAAATAGCTCGAAATAAGGTCTGTGGTTGACACGCATTAAGAGTTTACTTCCGGGTTTTAGGACGCGTCACTGCACCACTCTATAGATGTACATTTATTAGGGTACCAGGTCATTTTCACACTATAAAATATAGCTGTCTGGGAGGTGGGACAATTAGTTGATAATCTTTAAAAAACATTTGGTAAAAGTTCACACAGTATGACCTTCAAAACACCAGTATCCTGATTTTTAAAAAACGGCTTTGATATCTCTGTTATACACTATTTGAAATGTTGGCTAATAACGCGACCATGTGCACACATCCATTTGATCACATTGAGTGCTACTGCATGAACCAGCTTATTATAACATCTAATAAAACATAATTATGACACCTGAAAATGTGCATAATAGGGCCCCTTTAAACATTTTGAAAGCACAAGCCGCATTTGGGTATTGTGCAAAAGCTCATCCTTTTCCCTAAACATCTAAATTGCTCGTTTCCTTGACTGACTGACCACGTTATGTTCGCTCCTTGAAAAGTGTTGATTAATGAATGAATAAATAACAAAAGAACTGGCAAAAATGTTGCTCTCACCGCAAATAATTGCATCATTGGACTGCAGTCATCACTCATGTATTAATTATTATGATATTGAAGACACCCAGCATAAGTACTTTTAGGGCAGGCTGCCCGGTGGTTTAGTGGCTGAGTAAATCTTGAGCAATGCAGCCTAATGGCCCAAAAAGGTTGAGGCTGTTACTGTCAGAAAGATTTGTTCTGAGGGAAGTGGAGATACACTCAGGACTTACGGCGAGGGACCAATTCCACTAGTCATTATGGCCTGAACTGCAATACAGGTGAAGAATATATCCCCTAAAATAAATTCTACTGCAGAAGCCAATTTTAGGGGAGGCATACAAAAAGTGCCTTACGGGTGTCATTTGTGGTTTTATGCAGAAGTGTTGTTTTTCCAGGTTTAACTGAACTTAATTTAACTTGTAAAACAGAGCTCAAGACATGTCAGATGGCAAACACTTGAAATCACACAGCAGGTGACACTTAACTACAGGACAGCCACAGAGAGCTGCTCAGGCAACCAGCAACACAAGTGAGAAGTGCAAAGGCTGCTGGGAACTCACTGATTTGTAACGGATGTACTGCGAGAGATAATGATTTCCCCATCGCACTGATGAGCCATAAAGTAGAGCAGTGTGTTCCTCTAAAGCAGAGAACTGCACTTACATTCAAGTCACAGGGCTGAGCATTTGCTGTTGTTTTTCTAAATATAAATACTTAGAAACTTAAAAGAGACATAGTTTAGCAAATAGTTCAGCTGCTATGAAAGTATTCCCAGAGTCCATAAAGGCTTTGCAGACATAGTTAAACAAATATAGTCAACAGTGGGAATAGATATAAATAAATTAAACTAACAAGATGTGTTGTTTGCTTTGTGCAAATGGTGCAAGGACACTTATGGCGCTTTTCCATTGCAGGGCCTCGCTCGGCTCAGTACGGTATAGTTAGGCCTCGGTAGGCCAGGCTCGCTTTATGCTGCGTTTCCATTACAGTTTAGTAGCTGGGGCAGTAACTATAGTAACGCAGTGTAGGCAGAGCCGTGACGTCATCTTCAGAAAACCAACATCAGCCGTTAGCTGTTAGCCCTCAGAGCTCACAGCTCCTCATATCTGTTCAGAAACTAGACAAAAGTTAAACAAGTACAAACCACAGACTGTCTGTGTCATGGCGAGTACAGTCGCTACGCTACCTTGTTTGGATAAGGAAATTGGGTAACAAGTTTAAAATGTTTATCACACACTGGACAGAATGTTTTATATTTGTCTAGTTATTAAGGATTGCAATGTATTCAGTTTGCAGGAAAACATATGCAAAGCTCTGTGACTCCAGCAGTATAGTAGAGTAGTCTTTTAGCATAGAGAAACATGAAACGCACTGGGGCTTCAAAACAGTCAAATTCACACCGACACTATTTCAGTAGGTTGTTCTGAGGGAGTGTCAAAAATACAAAATCAACTGCTTAATTCTGACACCTCCTCTGTATGTGCTGAACCTTACCCTGGGAGTAAATAACCTCTGTGTTGTGGCTGCTGATCAGCAGACCAAACCGGAACTACTTCCTGTTAGAGCTGAGGGCCTCATTAGGTGAACGTTTTATAAAAGGCAGCTGTGGATCACGGGGCCAAACACTTCACTGTCAAACCAAAAGACTGTGAACCACTAATCTCTGATGGCTTGGATTCCATTTGAGCAGTGGTGGGAGAAGCATTCAGCTAATGTATTCAATTAGAAGTACTAATAACATACTGGGAAATACTCCACTACAAGTCAAAGTCCTGCGTACAAAGCCCTACTTCAAGTACATGTATAAACGCAAAATACACTTACAGTATGAAAAGTACTTATTGTGCAGTAAAATGTTCCATCATGTTCCTTGTTGTGTGATAATTATACATGGTGGGTTGTGATTAATATAACTGCTGCATTGTGTATTTTGCATTTCACAGCCATGGATGTTTAATCTGCTTTATACACAGTTGGGTAGTTTAATCTACAACAATGCATCTTATTCTATCAAATGTCTGTAGCTTTGTTGCTGAGCTATGAGAACAACGTCTCTCAAAAAGGTCAACTATTCATGTGCTAAGAAAAGCTTCACAGTTTTCCAGCTGATCCAAGAGGATTTTAAATCATTTATTTAGCTTAAAAAGTACACAAAGAAAGATGTCATCCTGTAGTTCCCTATCAGGTTCAACAAAACGTAAGACACGTGGGTTTCACTGGACAGAAAGAGGATTACAAACTCTAATCTCACAAGTGAATAAAGCTGTCAGTGGAGTACAAAGGCAATATTGTCTTTGAGCAGAAGTATAAAGTAACATGCAATGTAAATAGTACCTCAAATGTGTCCTTAAGTACACTGTGAATATTTTAAAACAAAGTATGCATCAACCAAATTATTTGTACAGATAAGAGTTTACACACTGGTTCATAAAGTGAAGTTAGTTGAAATTAGCTAAACTTTTCACAGCTGCAACATGTCAGTGATGAACCCATTAATGCAACAATAGCTGTAGTCAAATCATATAATCTATGTGATTCTGAAAAAAGTAATTCTGCATACTTTAAGTACCTAAACATATCTTACTGATCATAGTTTTGTATGTTTACATTTTGACTTGAGAGGTTTTGATTACAGGACTTTTGCTTGTAATTGGGTTTTTCCATTATGAGGTATAACTACTTTTACTGGAGTAAAGATTTCAGAATACCAACACTGCAAGTGATGCACACATAATAATCTAATCCAAAAAACATTAATCTATATTCTATGTGGTTCTGAAAAAGGTCATTCTGCATAATTAAACGTACCTTAACATATGTTACTGCTCATACTTTTGTACTTTTACATTTTGACTTGAGAGGTTATGAATGCAGAATTACAACTTGAACTAAAGCAAAGTATATGAATACTTCTTCCACAACTGCAAGTGATTCACATATCATAATTGTAATGAAATATTATAATCTATATGATTCTAAAAAAGGGTCATTCTGCATACTTTTGGTACATTAACATATTTTACTGCTCATACTTTTGTACTTTGATTGAGAGGTTTTGAATGCAGGGTTTTCACTTCTAAGAAGGTATTTCTATTATGAAGTATAATTACTTTAACTAAAATAAAAATATCTGAATATTTCTTTCACTACTGCCAGTAATGCACACATACTTACTCACACAATAAAAAAAAACAGTGCGGCCTCAGAATAGCGCCGCCATCAAACACATACAGTTGGTTTAGTGTGGCTAACGGTAGCTAGCTAGCATGCTAACTAGCACCACTGTTTAACCGGGGGTAAAGCTGAAGTGGTTAGCCGCTAGCTTAAGCTGATTTTGCCTCAGTGCAGCTTAGTTTCTACTTATAAAACGAACCAAAATGGGACCGTTACTTGCTCCATCTTTGTATGTTACCCAGGAATAAATGGGCGGGGGAAAGCACTGGAAACACAACTAACGCACCATAGATAACACTCGCATATTTGGCTAGCTGATGCGTTAGCTAGCCAGACAAACTCTTTGATACAGAAAAAGGCTGCCCTTTTTTCCGGAAGTGCAAACCTTATTTAGGTTCACCCAACTGCCCGAGTGGCCCCTACAAAAACACACTTATTCGTCCCATGTCCAGTTGTTTTCTATTCAATGCAAATATAATGTTTTAACAAAGTAGAATGTAATATAAACACCAATGTTTTAATTCCTACCCACCGCTCATGACGACATTCGCTCTCCGTGAGCCTTGAAGACCGAGCCCCGTGGAGGAGTCCGCCTGCGCCGCCGCTGCAACCAATCAGCGGAAAGGGGAGTGTTGAGCGACAAGCAGGGTGGCCAATCAGCTTGAACTGTCCTTTTGAGTGAAATTTAATTGAGCCAATTGTAGTGCGAGAACGTTGTACGTCGTTCGATGGATGACGGCTGGACCAATTGGGTGTCGAGATAGTGGTCAACGGGGGCGTTTCAAAATGAAAAACCAAGAACAAGCGAAGGCCCTATTAAAGGGGGCATTCGGTTTCACTGACGTCCCCAACGTCCAATGTGAATATAGAGGGGCAGGTAGATCAAAACAAGAGTGACAACAGTGCTGATCAGTGAGCTTTGAGTCCATTTAAACTGCCCCATGTTTTATTTTGAGGAGCAGTCCGTTATGGGATAACACAGACTGCAGTAAGCCACTATATAAGTATTTATTTCCTTAAAAATTCGCCTTTAAAATCTCACACTGTGCATATGGCACTAACCTACACTTGAAGCATGTGGAATGAATTACGAGTCTAGTTTATTATATTTGGAAGTAAAACTAAGCAATACTCAAAAACAACAGTCCACACATGTGTGCTTAGCCTCTATTGATTTTGTATGAATTGATATTTCCCTCCCTTTATATGTGTATATTGTGCCATTGTGCCCTAGCATTATTTTTCTATTTCATTGTGATGGATTGATATCACTTATATGTCTTCTGTAGTCTATCAAATGTAATAGTGATTATACATTTTTGAAATACTGCCATAACCTCAAAGTAAACCGATTATTAATGTATTTTAAATCACAGCAATGCCGCAATACTATATATCTTATACTCAACTGGCTGTTAAAAGCATGATTTCTAGTGATTACTGGCTGCAGTGGTGGAGGAAATACTGAGATTAATCTACTACACTTTAGAAATACTCTGTTAAAAGGGAAAGTCCTGCACAGAATATGAACAATAATAGTAATATATTCAAATGACTTGTTTTTGTTTGGAAAAAAGTGACGTAACCAATAAATGTTATGTATATCCTCTAATCCTGTAATTCTAATTATTAGTACTGTACCGTGTCGGTCGTGTCGGGTTGTGTAATTTATGGCAAAACATCACATTTTAAACCTTTTTCCTATGTTTGGTATACAAAAGTTATAATTTGTTCAACAACTAAAGCTCTCAGGTAAAAGTAGAGGAGCAAAAGTAGAAAGTGGTACAAGTTATGAATCATGTAAAGTGAAAGTACTTCAAATGTGTACTTTAGTGCAGTACTTTAGTAAATGTACTTGGATACATTTCACCACAGCCTGGCTCTGGCATGTGTGGAATGCAAGCTGTTGTCCATTGAATCCTTTTGTTATTCAAATGCACAATGGACTGTAGCTAAACCCCGAAACGCTAATTTGGTGAAGTGTATTCAAAGATTTGTCCTTAAAATGTCACTTCTTGTCACATGATTAGCTCTCTTACTAGCCTTCAAGATTATTGTTAATGTCATCGCATCGCTGCCAGTCTTTAAGGATGTAATCACAATGTGAATTTGCACTATCCTCATTTAAATGCACTGTTATATCATCTCAAGTGTTCATATTATGTCTATTCTATGCTAATGTTATGTCTATTTTTTATGTCTTCTAACTGGTAACTGTATTCTATGTGATATACATTTTCTGTGACAATTTTATGAGATATCAACTGTCTACTTGAAGCACTTTTGACTGCAATTCTTGTATGAAAGGTGCTACAAATAAAGCTTATTATCATCTTACCGTCTTGTTGTCCGTCTTTTCCCAAATAGATGATTAGAGCTCAGACTGCTGACTGAGCTCAGAGCAGATTTGAACTCAGAAGACTCAGAATGTGTCTTTTTTATTGTGACGTTGGATCCCAACTCGACGATAGAGGCTGCCATGATTAATTACACTGTGATCTGAGTTTTCCAATTTTAACTGTACTGTAATATTATATTTTAACTGTACTATGTATTATTTTATTGACCTGCACTTAAATCATGTTTTATAATTGTTTGTGTGATAGAGATTATGCAATGTTTTGTAGTGCTTGTTGATTGTTATGTACAATGTGTGTGTGTGTGTGTGTGTGTGTGTGTGTGTGTGTGTGTGTGTGTGTGTGTGTGTGTGTGTGTGTGTGTGTGTGTGTGTGTGTGTGTGTGTGTGTGTGTGTGTGTGTGTGTGTGTGTGTGTGTAGTACGTAACTACGTACGTAGTAGTACTACTATATACT